GCATCACTGCCAGGCCACCAAGCACTGCTACGATCAGTGCCAGAGTGAGGACGGGGGTGCCGTGTGTGGCTCAGATAACAAGATGTATCGCAATGTCTGTGAGATGAAAGCCAAGAACTGCGGGTGAGTTTGGTCGCTACTTTATCGCACAGTTCATTTGTATGCTGGATTCTTGGATACGTTTTAGTGGGCTGGAAGCTAAACACTGTGGTTTCTGTGGTTGGCAGGGATAGATATGCAGAGATATAGGAGATTGGGTCTCAGAGGGAAGGGAGGACGGAAAGATAGAGAGGGAGAGGGAGGGAGGGAGAGGGAGGGAGGGAGAGGGAGGGAGAGGGAGGAAGGGAGGAAGGGAGAAAGGGAGGGAGGGAGGGAGAAGGGGAGGGAGAAAGGGAGGGAAGTAGGGAGGGAAGGAGGGAAGGAGGGAGGGAAGGAGGGAGAAAGGGAGGGAGGGAGGGAGAGAGGGAGAAAGGGAGGGAAGGAGGGAGAAAGGGAGGGAAGGAGGGAGAAAGGGAGGGAAGGAGGGAGAAAGGGAGGGAAGGAGGGAGAAAGGGAGGGAAGGAGGGAGAAAGGGAGGGAGGGAGAGAGGGGGGAGACAGTGAGAGAGAGAGAGAGAGAGAGAGAGAGAGAGAGAGAGAGAGAGAGAGAGAGAGAGAGAGAGAGAGAGAGAGAGAGAGAGAGAGAGAGAGAGAGAGAGATGGTGAGAGGAGAGAGGAATAGTGTAAAAAATAGCATAATCACAGTGACAACCTGTTCACCAATCAGGCGCGCCGTAACCGTTCATTCATAGATATTCTGTTTAATACGAGTATGGTGTTGCCTTTGGCGGGTCACCTTTACTAGAGGTACAAAAATTCCTCTCTGCAACAGCAGTTGGATACATACATAAGTAGAAATGGATAGACAGAGAGAGAGAGAGAGAGAGAGAGAGAGAGAGAGAGAGAGAGAGAGAGAGAGAGAGAGAGAGAGAGAGAGAGAGAGAGAGAGAGAGAGAGAGAGAGAGGAAGAGAGAGGAAGAGAGAGGAGAGAGAGAGAGAGAGAGAGAGAGAGAGAGAGAGAGAGAGAGAGAGAGAGAGAGAGAGAGAGAGAGAGAGAGAGAGAGAGAGAGATCATATTCTACAAGTGTGAAATTATAATAACGAGTAAATAAATAAACACATACATAAATAAAAGTAAGCATTTTCTCATTTTCTCAACCACACCTTCCCTTCCCTCCTTTTCCACAGTCGCCACGTCTTCGAAGTCCCTATCAAGAACTGCCTCGCGGGCTTCAACTTCATCAAATGCCTGAAGTTCTGCCCGCCCATGTTCGACCCTGTGTGCGGCACCGACGGCAAGACCTACAGCAATGAGTGTTTCCTTCAGATGGAGAACTGCCGCACCCGCAGCATGGGCCGTAGTCTTGTAACGCGCATTTACCATGGCAAGTGCGGCCAGCCAGTCCCCGAGGCGAAGCTTTACATGTTCAGATAAAGGATTCCAGCGATGAAAGAGAGAGAGAGAAAAAAGAATGCAAGAGAAATTCAATTCCTTTCCCTTTTTATGTGATAAAATGTGAAATCTGAGGGTGGACTACAAGTATATATTTATTTTTTTCTGGTGATTTTTCTGTTTAGCGAAAGCTTTGTTGTGTAGATTTTAATGTTTTCTGACATGAATGTCATAATGATTACAAATGCGTTGATTGAATGTAATTGTCTTTTCAGGAAAAAAAAAGTTATATTTTTTTATTTACTTTTATATATTCACTTATTTTCTGTCTGTCATTTTGTGCATTTAAGTTTTTATTCATCTATTTATTCACTAATATTTATATCTGTTAATTTATTAATTCATGTATTTATCCATTTATCAATGCTTACCCATTACTAGTGTTAAATAAATACCAACAGACTAGCCCTAACACTTGCTTCTGGAAAAAAGATATTATCACACAATAAGCTTATTAGTAAAACATGGGAGGTTATTTTCATAGCACTTTACTAACAGAAAAAAGTCAGATATAAGAAAAATAAACATTGCTGCAAATTCTGAAAAATAGCCAGATAACTATAACACCTGTATTTGCTACTTTAGGGGGCAGCTGTAATATAACTGTATTTGTTCTTGGGATTACAGTTACCTCACAAAAGTCCCCAATGTAATTTTCTTTTTCTTTTTTTCTTTTTTTTTTGTCATTAATTGCATACCAGAATGATGCCAAGTTTTTCTTAACTGTGCAGTTGTCGAGTTAAATCTCATATACTTTTCCCCAAAAATCTGTCAATGATACCAACTTCCCTTTTCATTTTAACTCATGCAGAATTCTCACACACACACTATAAAAATCACCTCTTTGGTTTTATTAAGCTAACAGACAAAATCCCAGTAACCCGAGAAAAAAACATATCAAAAGTTTACACGTTTTTGCCAAGCGTGGAGCTGGTAATCTTTACAATATTTTTTCTCTAGTATAAAATTTCACCTTTGACTCTCTAACTGAACTGAGTTTAATTACATTACCTATTAATTTCTAGAGCATCCCAACCCCTCCAATAGAAAACATAACACCCTTGACATATATGTCAACTTGTTAATTATTTATTCGCAGCTTTCTTAATTTATTTATATTTATTTAATCTACTGTGTTATGTTTTTATTATTCCCAGTTGAAGAAGCGTCTGCTGTGATACTACATATATATAATTTTTTTCTCTCCTCCCCAACAAAAAATAACTCTTTTCTTGTAGATGTGCTATGACTAAGCCATCATAAGTGTTAGTAGCTGTTAGTAGGTTTGTTTGTACTCTAAGTTTGTTAGAAGGCAATTTGTTAGCCATGTTAATGTGGAATTAGTCCATGTTTATATATACACATTTTAGAGGCACATAAAAATGGCCTATGTAGAGCTTGGTCAAAGGAGCTGGCGTATTTTATTCAGTATTCTGATTGACTTAAGTTATTTAAGTTCTTGATTACCTTATTAAGATTTATGCTATTAATATTACCTGAATATGTGACATGTGTAACACAGTGTTATTATATGGTATACATTTTTTCAATTATATATGTGCAATAAATGCTTTCCTTGAAAAGGGAAAAGATTTGTTTTATTTAAAATCCATTCATGGAAAATGTAAAATACACTATTCTTCATAAAGTGTTGACCATTTACAGAGGAGTTAATCTAAAGTAATCAAAATACATAATAGCTCTGAATTATTCCTCTTCTGTTTAAAAGAAAAGCTTGATTCACATTTTTCCCCCCTATTCAGTTTGATTCAAACAGTAATTTCAGTTATAACTCAGGGGTCCCACTCAGGAATTCACAAATCCCAGAGGATTCACAGACCTGGTGGCCCACGGACCAAGTTCAAAGTCTCAAGAGCTCCAGAGCAAAATGGAAATTTATTTTAATGAAATGGGTCCTCTGTAGTGACAGGGTGTATATACAAAGAAACTTTTCAAGAACTATTACAAAGAAAGGGCAAATTACATGAGGAAAAGCAAGATTAGCTGCATTACCTTACCAAATGGTGCAGCATTCACAGCTGTGTAAATTTGTTTCTTTTAACCAGGTAAGGTCTCAACATAGAAATAGGCATTTATTTAGATACTCTGATACTAATAATCAGAAATAAATGTTATGCAAATACACTTTTCATACACCATAGAATTTGAACTAAATTTCTTAATGGCTGAAAAGAAAACATCACTGATAAGAAAAAAAATTAAGGACCTGTTTCCTTCTTGCAAAATAATGACCTTAAAAAAAATAATAAATAAATAAAAATCCTAATCCATATATTTTTTGCAATATCACAGGAAACACTGCCAGGGATGTTATGTACATAGATGTCAAGTCCACTGTGATTTTAGTTAATTTATTGTATTTACACATAAATGTCTTCATTAATAGCTCAGTAGCAAAGGAAACAACCAATGCTAACCAAAACAAAGAGTACATAACAGTATTTCAATAATACTCCTTTAAACCCCATGCATCCTCCACATATTTTCATAACTTGGATCCTAACCTCACCAAGTCTTTTCACTCCCACCCTCTCCTTTATCTCCCCCCCCCCCTCCATGCCCTACAGATATTTACCTTTGCAAACATGATTTTCCTCCATGAAGATGTGAATCCAAAATGCACTCAATCTCATGACTGTTGTGCATTAAAGTGAAGATATCAGTTTTTATGTTATAGATGAAAGCTAAAATAAGCAAAATATCTAATTACCTGCAAATTGTCTGAGAATATCTTTGGACACCCATATCCTCATATGCTGTGCCTTACTGTATTACAAACCTAAAAGCCAATATTGTAAAGAAACAATCATACTTTCATAACAATAACTTTACAATTAAATTACTGCTGCTCATTACAGAATAACCATAAAACTCACCAGGACATGCGTAACAAACTGCATTGTTCTGGAGTATCATTGACCACTGTCACCGTCACTTAGAAGCTATAGGTACAGGTGTGCAAAGTAAGTTTGAAAGTAGGAATTGCACAAATCTGAGGAAGTTCCATTATCCACTGCAGTGATAAGTTCACAGGAGCTTCAAGTATCCCCTTGCACTTTTCCCCAGATCAAAAGAGGTATCAGACTATCACTTAAAAATCAGTGGTGTACCTGTTCTTTATCACTAATTTTTTTCTTTTCTTTTTTCATGCAACAAGAACAGAGGTCATTTACAGTTGAGCAATAATCCTTCATGCTTTGGAACCCTTGACAATGTTTCCAGATTCTAATTTTCTACGTCAAAAACATCCTCAACACCCAATTAATTACAATACTTACTTGCTAATAAGACACTCAGGTCTAATGTAGTTTTTTTTAAACTTCTGTGTGAGATTGCAACAAATTGTATCAACAATTGTATCTGAATTTATTGCTGAACAGATGCTTTGTTACCTGCTACCACAAGTCAGATGGCATACTAAAAAGCTAAAAGTTGTTTATCATTTACTTTACATTACAGGCAGGTTGGGAGAATCTAAAACACATTCAAGCAAAATAGACTATTTTATTCTTTAGACAACATCCACAACAACAGCAGCTGATTTCTTAGGTGACGATTGGAGGAGGTTGCCGCTACTTTCGTTTTCGTGCATTGACGTTGAAGCCAAGTGCTGCGGATTAATGGTGGAAGGTGCTCTCTCAGGTTCTGATGCCGAAAGGAACATCTCAATGGCACCCATGAGCCCAATATATTCTCTGCTGATGCGCAGTTCAGCAGCAATCTGGAAAGAAGAGAAAAACCTCAGCCTAATAGACAATATAGTGTCATGGCTGTACCCTCCATTCGTGGATGGCCTCATATGCAGTGACTGTATGGGGGGGGGGGGGGGGGGGGGGCACACACACACACACACACACACACACACACACACACACACACACACACACACACACACACACACACACACACACACACACACACACACACACATATATAATACATATATGTGTATATTTACACATATATAATACATATATGTGTATATTTACACATATATAATACATATATGTGTATATTTACACATATATTACTTATATTACATATATATATACACATATATACATACGCGTATATATGTATACATATACATATACATACATATATACATATAAATATATATAAAATATACATATAAATATACATGAAATATACATATAAATATACATATACATATGTATATATACATTAATACATACACATATACATATACACAAACACAAACAACAGGACAGGTGAGGAGACCCTGATGGTGATACTTAAATGGCAAGTGTTGGGTACTTTATAGTTATGATTATTTGCATAATCATCATCTATGGGCAATGTGTAGAAACATTACAGTAGTACTATAGCTCATTACATTACAGTCAGAGATACTACATAAGTCAAAAAAAATTATAATAATAATAATTCCTTAGATGTCTATGCACTAAAAATATTCAAGGAACTGATTCCTTCTTTACAAAGACACTCGAACACTAAAAAAAAAAAAAGATTATTCAAGGCCATCAATTCATCCTCTACGTAACTGCTTCACAAACAAAAAGGAAAATTCAAGGCAACTGATCCCTTCCCTACATAATCACACATACACTATATGTAATAATAAGACAATCACTAAATTCTTAAGGGTATCATTTGTACACTGAATAGAATCTTAAAAACTCTCACCTCATCTTGCAGTCTCCTGAACTGCCTCACTAATGCTGGATTTTCATGAAGACTGTCACTGTATAAATCTGTACAGGTTAGAAAAAAACAAGTTAAGTCAGTAATTGCTCACTTACTAATAGAAAAACAATAAAAACAACAATAAATAAATTAATTAAAAAATAAATAAATAAAATAAATAAACAAATAAATAAATAAATAAATAAATAATATATATATATACATATATATATATACATATATATATATATATATATATATATATATATATATATATATATATATATATATATATATATATATATATATATATATATATATATATATATATATATACACATATATACATACGCGTATATATGTATACATATACATATACATACATATATACATATAAATATATATAAAATATACATATAAATATACATGAAATATACATATAAATATACATATACATATGTATATATACATTAATACATACACATATACATATACACAAACACAAACAACAGGACAGGTGAGGAGACCCTGATGGTGATACTTAAATGGCAAGTGTTGGGTACTTTATAGTTATGATTATTTGCATAATCATCATCTATGGGCAATGTGTAGAAACATTACAGTAGTACTATAGCTCATTACATTACAGTCAGAGATACTACATAAGTCAAAAAAAAATTATAATAATAATAATTCCTTAGATGTCTATGCACTAAAAATATTCAAGGAACTGATTCCTTCTTTACAAAGACACTCGAACACTAAAAAAAAAAAAAAGATTATTCAAGGCCATCAATTCATCCTCTACGTAACTGCTTCACAAACAAAAAGGAAAATTCAAGGCAACTGATCCCTTCCCTACATAATCACACATACACTATATGTAATAATAAGACAATCACTAAATTCTTAAGGGTATCATTTGTACACTGAATAGAATCTTAAAAACTCTCACCTCATCTTGCAGTCTCCTGAACTGCCTCACTAATGCTGGATTTTCATGAAGACTGTCACTATATAAATCTGTACAGGTTAGAAAAAAACAAGTTAAGTCAGTAATTGCTCACTTACTAATAAAAAAACAATAAAACAATAAATAAATTAATTAAAAAATAAATAAATAAAATAAATAAATAAATAAATAAATAAATAAATAAATAAATATATATATATACATATATATATATACATATATATATATATATATATATATATATATATATATATATATATATATATATATATATATATATATATATATATATATATATATATATATATATATATACATATACATACATATATACATACATATATACATATAAATATATATAAAATATACATATAAATATACATGAAATATACATATAAATATACATATAAATATACATATACATATGTATATATACATATATACATACACATATACATATACACAAACACAAACAACAGGACAGGTGAGGAGACCCTGATGGTGATACTTAAATGGCAAGTGTTGGGTACTTTATAGTTATGATTATTTGCATAATCATCATCTATGGGCAATGTGTAGAAACATTACAGTAGTACTATAGCTCATTACATTACAGTCAGAGATACTACATATGGTAATAATAATAATAATTATAATAATAATAATAATTATAATAATAAAATAATAATAATAATAGTAATAATAACAACAACAATAACAATAATAATGACAATGATAATAATAACAATAATAATAATAATAACAATTAATGATAACTATAACAACAATACCAATAATAATAATAAGAACAACAACAACAACAACAACAATAACAATAATATATAATATTATCAATAACAATAACATCAATAATAATAACAATAATGATAATAGCAATAATAATAACATTAATGATAATAGCAATAATAATAATAATAATAATAATAATAATAATAATAATAATAATAATAACAATAATAATAATAACATTAACAATAATAACACCAATGACAATAATAATGACAACAACAACAATAATAAGAGTAATAATAATAATAATAAAAATAATCTCGCCCCCTTTTTCCATACCTATAATCACATTGGAGACGTCAAGCAGCAGCTGCTTGTACAAGGGATTCCGGACGTATCTGATCACAAAATTCAACAGAGGAACTAGCTGTTTCACTTCTCTTCCGGCTATCGCTGTCTTGAGGCCCTCTCGTCTGCATAGAAAAAAAAGAGAGATTATCTTCAGTCTGCCTTTACACTTTGTTTTATCATCTCTAATTAACATAGATAAAAATAGGTTTAGTATTACTCTAAGAATTTTGTTTCTAAGAAATAAATATATACATACAATGAGACATCTACTTTAGATGACCCAAATATTCATCAAGCACTAATATCAAATTTATAGCTAATCTTATAGGATGCAGAAAGATGACTAGTCTTGTCCCCAGATAAAATTACAATATTTCAATTTGTTAAATATTTAGGACATTACAAATAAAATTAAAAACTAATAATAGCATCATATATTCATATATTCACATATTGCTATGCAGTTTTTGCATGACCAGTTCCTATTAATCTATATTACTGAACAACTACCAACATGGAATAGATAAGAATCCCTTTGCATCTTGCAAATCATTTCATCATGTAAGCCACTTATTGCCAAATATATATAAATAATCCTGCTGTCAAGAGCAACAAACATGGCAATCAGAAGTTTCCATAAAAAAAAATTAATTCAGCCTATATCATGTCATCAGAGCAAGCTAAAAATTGTAACAGTGGGATACTTAGATAAGATTGTTATCTACTATATTTCACAAGTACAATGAAGTAACTATGTATTAAGCAATACCACCAAATGATCTGATTACAGACAAAAACAGAGTAACAAAATGTATCATATGTTGCTGATGATAATAGTCTAATAAAAAAAATAATAAATATATAAATAAAATAAAAAAATCCCGCACAGTGAGGCCCTCAACTTCATATGGAAAGATACACCCCCAAAAATGATAAAACCAATCTCTGAAATGAAGCTACAAATCTATCCAGGCCATTGAGACTCACCTTATCAACTCATGTAGAACTCCAACAGTGACATTCGGAGTCTTGCTTGTTACATAGGACGTCAATACAGTATCTAGGGCTTGGCTGTACTTGAACTTTCTTAAGAAGACATCATATTTGGAGAGCTGTTCCTTCTCTTCATGTCTGATAATCTGTTTAATGAATAGTTATAATTAAAAAAGAGTTCAAAGAGTCCATTTATTCTGAATTTCATATATTTACCTTTTACTTTTTGATCAACTGCATCTCTACACAAAATTATATTCTACTTGGCAACTATATTCAATATATCAACAGGTGTTCTTTAAGTAAAAAATACTTAATGATGATCATACATAAAAATGACACAAATCCGACGGACATGATATGTACACACATACCATGTCCACTGTGACTTTACTTTATTAATTGTTTTAACACACACATGGCTACACTTGTAAGTCACCAATGAGTCAATTATGAGTACTGCTTGTTTTGCCTGTTTACCCTTTACATTGATTTTTGGAAATATTTTACATTATCTTATTTTGCTGTTACTAATATCTACAACATTATAGTAATCATAATCACAAAAAAATTTAAATGAGCACAGCATTTTCCCAGAAGCATTGGGTTAAAAGAGCTAGTAGTACTAATGGTATGCCTAAGAGAGTTTATAAAATCACAATTCATACATGTGACAATTTGCAAACAAGTGTTTGCAAATTGAGTATATTGGTGAGATAGGTATGCCTAGAAATTGAGTCGTTGGTAATTAGGCACATGTGGGGCTTTCTATGTGTAAAGACAACTAATATCCAAAAGCAAAAATAAAAGCAACAACAATAAAAACACTGGACATGACACATATTCCCCTCATCAATCAAAATACATAATGGCTCTTCTGTAATTCCAAGTAATTCTGATCTCACCTGTTCGTCAGGCACCACTCTGTAGTCCTCTGTGATCATGTTTCGAATATCTGCAGCTTTCCTCTTGGCCCTGTTGCTGTCCTTCTCAACCTCCTGCTGTTCCCTTCGGTGTTGGAATGACACGAGTCCTGAGCCACCAGAGATCATACCCACAGCCAGCATGGAGTCCTCTGGCTGTTATCGGAAGAATAAAAGAATAGTTTACAGCTGACTCACACGGCATAGACTACAAACAAATTTACAAAGACCACAAAGCCAAAAAATCAAGACAGGCCTAGAGAGGATGAAAGAAAGAAATAAAAGAAAATAACTAATCTACCAAACCCCTAATCCACTTACCGCCACTGCCATACTGAGAATCGGGGCGGGAAAGTCTAAGGTGTGAACAACCGAATATGTGTTGACGTCATATATCTTGATGTGGCAGTCCAGGGAGCCTGACATGAGTCTGTTGTTGTCGCTGGCAAAGGAAAGGCACGTCACCGTCTTGTGGTGTTGTGACAGTTTGGATAGCAACCGACCACTAATGGTATCCCATACCCTTACTTCACTACCACCTGAAAATTAAGAACAAAAATTGGTCTCAAATTTCCATTGTGCTGCTAAACAATAAAGACTACAATCTGAGAGACAAGAAAAAAGGTAAATAATGTTCTTATTGATGAAAATCATTATAATTAAATGTTAGAAATAATATCATTATAGGTAATTTATAGAAATATCAATTATATTAATATGAAATATGAACTTGTTAACATCTGTGTATGAAGTAATAAAAAGAAAGAGAGAAAGACAAACAAGAGAGGAATTCAAACAAAATATGAATAATATAGTAAACTGGCATCTTATGGATTAATCTAAAATCCTTGAATTTACTGATACACGAGTTTCAGATCTAGAAATATATTTCACATATCCTCTATGTCTCTTCTGATGACTGAAAGATATGTGGGCTTACAGAAAGATACTGACAAGAATATGTTTTGGGCCACCATTGAAAAAAAAATTATTTAGAATTAATGGCTAAACCCCAAAACACCTTTGAATTATTTGTCAATATTTACTCTTTTGTATCCTACAATAAATTTCATCAACAAATGAATTTACCTTAATGAACAATTTGGATGTCATCTGCCCCTCAAGTGTCCAAGTCATATTACCAATTCTAATCTAAAGAAATCCAGAAAGCCTTCATGATGTCTGAATGATCACTGCATCTTCCTAAGCTTATGCCAGGTTTTTCTCTTATATGCAGTAGCTGTCAAAATTTTCATGCAAAGACATGTCAAAACAGAAGCATTGACATCCATTGATGCACACCATGCATTTACTGTTCAACATTAGTCATTAGCTACAGATTCAAAACAGACTCCATAATGGTTTTGTCCACAATAGTCTAATATTGACAATACGACCTTGACCTGTACCATAAGCTGTATATTTTGTGCACTGCCTCACCATGTAATTGTAATTTCATTATACATGGTATAATTAGGTATGTGGTGCTATGGCTTCCTTGGATCATTCTGGTGGTGAGTGGTTTGACCACAGCAGATAATGATGAAATGACTTCTGCACTGTGACTGTACCAAGAATTCAAAGCATCAAAATGAGGCATGACAAATTCTAACAAGGCTAAAGTTCCTTAGAGTTGCTAAAATCTAAGCCCTACTGTATGATGTACGACCTGAATCAAATGAAAAAGAACCCACACAATAAACAACAGAATGATGTGCATTTCAAAAGTGAGTAAACATTCCTAAATATAAAGTTGTGCATCTTAACCTACTAAAAATACTTAGAATAAACACCCCACTTTACTACTACCAACTGGAAAAAGGAAAACTCTCTAAGAACATATATACCACCATTGCAATATGACTTACTAAAAAAAAGAAAAGAAGAAAAAAAAAGTGTTTCTAATACTGGACATGAAATATCTCCCCATTCCCAGTGGGTAACAAATGACACAAATCATAATAACATGAGCACAATATCCCACCCAGTATCAAGGGGAATGCATGATATAACACAGACCCTTGAGATCTAAGAAAATTAACTTAATAGAACATTTCCTTCTAACCACAGTATATCACACAAAAGATAGCATCACACACCACCCCCCATAACCAATCCAACTACAAGAGAGAAAGAGAGGTCTTCTGGATTTTCACATTACCCCCATGACAATTACCTGCTGAGATGAAGACTCCACCAGATGGATAGCACAAAATGCTCTCCACGGGAGCCCCATGGTCGACTGTGAGAACGCTGGAGCCTGTGCGCGTATCCCATAACCGCACAGTGTGATCGTAGGATCCACTCAGGATGATATTTTCAGATGCTGGGCTAGTGATTCCTGCACGGATAAAATCCTGTTGAAAATAAGAACATGATTTTTGGGATTACTTGAAGAGGTGACAAGGATAGAATCAAAAGGTTTTTCTGTTTTTTCCAATCTAAATCTAAATTTGCAACCATAAACCAGGTAACCGGACACACAAAAATACTGTAACATCTCCTTTGATTCAATTTTCATCTTTCTTTGTCTGCATTCTCCAACTTTCATTCAATCATATTCTTTTCCTCTCAAAAATCTTTCATCAACCTTGCACATTATTTGCATTAACTAAATAAAATAAATAATACTGTTGATGTGATAATTGGAAAACTTAAGATAATATACTGTTATAGCTGACTTTACTGTTGAACAAACATTAGCATATTACATACATACATATAAATAAATAAACATATAATACATACATACATATCATATCACTCACTCACTCACTCACTCACACACACACACACACACACACACACACACACACACACACACACACACACACACACACACACACACACTCACACACACACACACACACACACACACACACACACACACACTCACACTCACACTCACACTCACACTCACACACTCACACTCACACTCACACTCACACTCACACTCACACTCACACACTCACTTACACACTCACTTACACACTCACTTACACACTCACAAACTTACACACTCACAAACTCACACACTCACAAACTCACACACTCACAAACTCACACACTCACAAACTCACACACTCACAAACTCACACACTCACTCACTCTCACATTAAAAAAATAAGGTAAACAACTGATCCACTGGTACCTGGTATACATACTATTAAAAAAAACAAATATATAAATAATAAAAAACAAACTTACTGTGTGTCCTTTCAGTGTACAAATTTGGCTTTCATCCCCTATGTCCCACAGAGCCGCCGTCTGGTCGTCCGAGAAGGAGACAATGTGCGACGTCCCTTCCACGAAACCAACGCGGTGTGTTGCGCTGGAAGGTCAAAGGAAGGTCCAGTTTTAGTCTCCCGTGAGCCTCTAATTCTTTTTATCTTTGTAGTAGTAATGGACTGAATGATCATAATAAACAATGATAATAAAAAAAACATTAATAATAATCCACAATAATAATAAACAATAGTATTCACAATTCACAAGCTAAAATTTCTTAAAATCTACAACAGTCCTCAACCATTGATATTCTTCCTATATTCTCACAACTTCATCCTCCAACTCTGTTCAGGAAATCAAAAAATGATTTTTGGACAAGCCAATCCATTTCAGAAAGAAAAGAAAAAGAAAAAATAATGAGAGAGAGAATGAAAGAAAGAAAGAAAGGAAAAATATTGCTTCTTATTTTTCATATAACTGTTCACAATCTAACACAAGCAAGCATTCATCACAAAATCAAAACTTGCCACTCTTGAATAGCTTTGGTTCAATAAATAATACATAAAAAAATTAAATACTGATGGAAAAGTAAATACTTATAGAAAAAAGTGGTAAAAAACAACAATATAGCAAAGTATCAATGTAGGAAGAAACAAAGGAGAAGATAATAATCATATAATTATAAAATAATAACAACAATAATAATGAACAATATTTATAAAAAACAATAACAATGAATATAACAAGACAAGAAAACACATGCAAAAGAGAACCAAAAACAATAAAAACAACCCCCCACCTGCTGTGACCTTTGAACACTCGAAGAAGCTGTTTTTGTCTCTGGTTGAACAGCTTGACTTGTCCCTCCTCCGTCCCCACCACCAGGAGCTGCCCGTCCTGCCGAAACCTAGCACCGTAGGCATTGCGCTGAAATCTGGAGATGGTGCGCCAAACTTGTGTTGTCTGTTGGTGGTACACGTCTACCTGTGTTTTGGGGAGAACCAAGCTTTAGAATGAAACATAAAACGAGGGTTAAAAATGCATGTGTACTGTACATATGGATTTCCTTGTAAAAAAAGGAAAATATGATTGGAGAAAAAGAAAAAACTAATAATAATAATAATAGTGAAAAACATACAATATAGAGAATGAGCTTGTGAATGAAGGAAGTCTAACTTTGCGTTAAGCTATGATATGTTGGAAAAATATTATTGTCTAGAAATTATACACATATTCATAGCTTTGTACTTGGTTATACAAAAACATACATACTTTTTGTGTTTCTTTTTTCTTTTCTATATTTCTTTACTAATAACTAAAGGCATCATTTGAATAATATGAACGAAAGACAGACTTTGATAAAATTAAATCACCCAAGTACATTCATTAACAGTTGGCAGATTCGTTACTTTTTCAGTACCATACCCCCTTCACCACTTAGCCAAAGAATGTAGAGTCATTATATACTCTCAGATCAGAGCTAATGGTGAGGTTAAGCATAAATACACCAAGACCAGTAATGAAACCAAAAGAGGGGACTATGCAGTTTGAGGTGGCTCACAGACCAGGAAAAGTTTAACTGTGGTCTGTTTAAGAATGGTACATTGCCCTTTGTACATAACTGTGCTGGACCTAAGTTTTGATATACTGACCAGCAAGGGGGTGCTTTAAACAATTGAAACATGAATATAAAGGAGTAAAAAGTTGAACTGTATATAAAGAGGAGAGAAAAAGGAAAATAATAAAAAAGATGACCCTAAGAAAATATGATAACAACAACAACAACAACAACAACAACAATAATAAAATAATAATAATAACAATAACAATAACAACAACAACAACAACAACAATAACAATAATAATAAAGAAAAGAAAAATTAAATATAGGAAGAATTCTGAGGTTTACAAACTAAAAATGAAAAAGAGAAGAAAACAAAAAACAATAATTAAAGTTGGGTAAAAGATAAAATTAAAGATTATAACAAAAACAAAAAGTTTATCAATTGAGTGTTGAAAATATTCTTACCTTTGGTCCAGATGTCACAGCTATATAATATGGTTCTGTTGGACTCACATCTACATAGTCTATTGATGTGAATTCCTTGACTGTGACTGGAAACTGAAATAGGAATCAAAGATAAGATAAGGTTGCATAATTATACCTATATCTATCTATCTATCTATCTATCTATATAACCAATTAATAAAGCAAACTCATAATGGGCAAGGCATGTATGTACATGCCATGCTTGGGTTAAGGGAGTACTTGGAAAATTGTACAGTAAGGCCCAACTTAAGAACATAATGGGGACCGAGAGGCTGTTTGTAAGTTGATTTGTTTGTATGTCGAAAGTCAGGTCTCCATTATCTTTTTTCCCATTGTTTTAAAGTTTTGTTTACATTAAGAATACCTATAAATAAATCCCAATAAGTACGACATACCTTATACAGTACCAGACCCTTGAACTATATTCGTGCCTGGGAAATTTGAAGTTTGCTATCATCTTTGAAACAATTTTTTGGACTTTAGTACATAAAAAATTTTGTTTGTATGTATGGAATGTTCATTAGTTGAATGTTCTTAAGTAGGGGACTATCTGTACTTGCTCATTAATTTGTTAATTTTTGTTATTTCTTGAAATATGCATGAAACTGTAATTGTTTTCTATCATAAATGACACAAGTGAAAGTATTTGTGGTTAATCCTTACAGTACTGACTCAATAAATTAGGATAAAATGAAGATGATATTCTTGTAGAATATCATTAGACTTCCCTACCAACCCTCCTCTCGGCAGTCAACCAGTTATAGCATTTTAATTGTTGATTAAATTTTGTGACGTAGAATTGGCAACTTAGTCGCCAATGAGTATCCATATTGTAAAGAATTACTGTATTCACAATTGTATAAGAAGTGACATGCCTCTATTACTCCTGCCACTCCTGAGAATCAACACACATCACCATATGAAAAAAAATTCTTCCTAACCCCAGGGCTTCACCCCCAGACCTCTACATGATTGCAGCATTTCCCTAACCCCTTGATGATGGTTGAAGAAATTATTTTAAAAACTCTATGCTCTGGAGATCAATGAAAACATGCCAACTTTGAGCATGGGAGTTCAGTACATCAAGCCAAATCACCGACTCATAGCACTTTGATGCGCCGCAGCGGTGTATAGCCACATGCCACAGATCGAACGGTTTGTTTTGACGCCTCATGGTGTGACCTGTCGGGAAGGGGTTAATGGGGGTTCTGCCCGGAGTCCCACCCAACCACAGTCCATCCCAGCCCCCATCCAATCACCATGAACTTAGTACAGATTTTGCCACAACCTATATTCTTTATTTCTGATACTCTTCTTTGCTTACACGGAATATTTAATATATCAGTAAGTGAAGTTCTTTCTTTTCTTCATGAATGTCATTAGATTTTCTCTCTCTGAATACAGTCAATATGTAAAAGTATACGACAGAATTATGTGTTGCATAATTTTCATATTTCTAACTTGCAGAGGAAATACCATAGATGAAAAGTGTTATTTTTAAATTCTTCCCATTACAGATAAAATTTACCAAGTACTATAAGGCTGTATGAAAACAAAACTATACCATTCATTCTGCCAACTGGTTCTGCCATGTCTGGTCAGTCGACATCGAAAGACGTCCACTGGTCCCAAATTCTGTGGTTTTTCATATGCGGACCTATTCTCAAAATTTACTCGATTTTGACTGATTCCAAAATTAAGGTTGATGACAGGGAAGTCTATGAGCTCTATTTTGCCGAATTATATAAATTCGAAATTTCTCGGCCTTTCCCACAGTGCTGAAGGCATGGACACCCCGGCGCCCTTTGGAGGCACTGCGGATCATTTTCTTCGTCTTAGGGTAGATTACAGTGTCCTTTTAAGTCAGTATCTCTTCTTATCTTTAACTCTGCACGGCCCTTGTTTCAAATCCTACCCCGATAGGCCTTAAAACACAAATAAAGTTCTTCTGCTTCCAAATATATGAAATAACAGATAACACAGATACACGTCAAAATACCGCACATAATCAAGCACAGAGATATATCCTTATCTTTCCATATATATCATTCAAAGCCTCTTCTATTTACCTCTAATTTCTTCCAGTAACCAAGGTCGGGAGTGGCTTTAATTCCTGTCTTATTAAAGGCACGTGTGTGGGTCTTCTTGAACGTCGCCATGCTTAGTTTGTTTACCTGGAGACCGCTGGGTTAAAAAAAATATATTCATTCTAATCTCAGACCATTAGTAATCATGACGAAAATAGTGTTAAGTGTTAACCAATTTTAACCTTATTCTTAATTTCTTGAAAAGAATTGTGGGCAGTATAGACCATAAGTAAAATAAGTAAAAGTTTTTGCCCCAGCGTTATTCGCCAGACAGATAACGCTGGGTTATAACTTAGTTCCATGTAGTATTCTCGAAAGTTTCATGATCTAAATGATAGAAATAACCAAAGATGATGACTATATTGCTCATGATGATCTTACTGATGCATTTAAAAAATATATAAAAATAATGATAATAATAATAATAATAATAATAATAATAATAATAATATTAATAATGGTAATAATAATTATAATAGCAGTAATATTAACAATGCTATTACTACTATTATTACTACTACTACTACTAATAATAATAATAATAATAATCTCGAAAGTTTCATAATCTAAATGATAGAAATAACCGAAGATGATGACTATAATGCTCATGATGATCTTACTGATGTATTTAAAAAATAAATAAAGGTAATAATGATAATGATAATAATAATAATGACAATAATGATAATAATAATAAAAATTATTATTATTATTATTATAATAATGATAATAATAATAATAATAATAATGATAATAATAATAATAATAATAATAATAATAATAATAATAATAATAATGGTAATGATAATTATAATAACAATAATATTAACAATACTACTACTACTACTATTATTACTACTACTACTACTACTAATAATAATAATGATAATCTCGAAAGTTTCATGATCTAAATGATAGAAATAATCGAAGATGATGACTATAATGCTCATGATGATCTTACGGATGTATTTAAAAAATAAATAAAGGTAATAATGATAATGATAATAATAATAATGATAATAATAATAATAATAATAATAATAATAATAATAATAATAATAATAATAATAATGGTAATATTAATGATAATGCGTTTGTCAGGTCATCGCTGTGAGATCTTTGTTATCGTAATCTGTCTTGCTTCATTATCATTACTATCAATGTCGCTGTTATTATCCTTTCTTTATTGTTATAATAATTATTTCTTTAATAATTATTATCGTTTTCATAATTATTGCTATTGTCACTAGCATTAATATTATCATTATTGTTATCATTGTTATTATTATTATTATTGTTACGCCGGCCGCCTATCTACCTGCCACCAACACGAGGCAGGATAGGCAGACGGCGTGTTATCCACAGGGTCGTGAACACTGAACAGCTCCAAGAAGCACCGAGTACCACGCCGTCCCAAAACACCACGAGGGGAAACGCCACGGGCGAGGCAGGGCACGAAAGAAAAAGCTCACAATGACAGTCTTTCCTTTATTTACACCAGTTATTTACCCGTACACTTTTCTATAGGCACAATACAGGAGGCAAACCAGCACATCACACTACACAATACAGCTTATAACCGGGCAACACAAAGTATATCAGGCTGGAGAAGGGCACACGGGCGGTAGTCACGGGAGCGGCACCAAAAAACTCTGCCCTCTCCGCCCGCTCCCCAGCCACCCGCGTCATTTTCATGCTAAAACACGTTAACACGCGTTCGCACAGAGACAAAGACCCTCTGGCGTAGCACTATCCCCCCCTTTCAAGCAGACGACCCGTCTGCTCTGATATATCTAATCAAGAAACAAACAACAGAAAATTTAAATGAAATTAGTCCTCATGAGCAAACAAAATTCTTTCAAACAAAAGTAACTGTAATTGTAAATCAGTTCTCAGAAACACAAAAATATTTCATCCAGCGCGGCTTTCTTCGCTCTCGCTGGGGTCGCTCTGGAGGAGGTGTGGGCGGCGGCAGATTGGCAGTGGCACCCAGAGGGTTATCTCCTGCCCCAAGACCTGGCTCAATGTCGCCATTGACGTCTGTTGCATCGCCCTCACCGTCCAAATGCTCGTCCTCATCTCGGTCATTGTCTGCCACGTCCTCATCGCTGCTATTGGGGCTTATCTACCAACGTGTATGGCCCTTCCCAGGGGCTCTGTAGCTTCGGTGAGAGCCCTCGCTTCCGACGCAGGTTATACAGCCACACTCTATCACCTATGTTGTACCTCACTTCCCTCATGCGCCGGTCATAGGTCTCCTTCATGGCATAGCCGGCTACCTTGAGCTTGCCACGCACTCGTCGGTGCTTCACTAATCCTGTGCGGCCTAGGTCCAAGTCACCCCTGCTTAACACATCTACATACTGAGCCAGGGTGTAGCGCATCTTCTCTGTCCGTGACTCAGTCAGGTGAGCGGCGCTCCGGTGCGCCAAATCCTCGAGGAAGTCAGGCAGCGGCCTTACACCGACCAACTCCTCGCTCCCCGACGACTCTTCTGGACGCTCCACTTCCTCACAAGTGCCCAGCTTTGCACCAGCTGGTACCTTCTGGGCCTTATCGGAGAAGTTAGCTACCAACACTATAACTAACCCCTCCCCCGCTCCAACAAGGCTCCGCCCAACTGCTACCCATCAGCCAGCTGCAGGTTTTGGATGGGCTCCACTAGGCCCTCTACTCCACGCATCACTCTTGACAGCCGACACAGGATTCTAGATTCTGTCCTGGGGGCAAGGTGCAGCCGCTCAGCTGTAACTAACTCTGCACAGCCAACTTCTGGAAGCAAGGGCACATCTTCACCGTGCACCCTCACCAGCTTCCGTCCAAGATTGACACACGCCTTACTCTGCGTCAGGTAGTCAAGGCCCAGCAAGCAGTGCTCGTCCATATTGGCCACATAAACTGGCAGCCGCTGCATCGTGCTGCCCACGCCAATACGAGCCTCCACTGGCCCCTTGAGCTGCACACAATGCCCCGTAACACCACACAATCTCTGTGGTGCGTCTGGAGGTCGCGTAGTGGCCAACATATCAGGCCGCACTAGGGTCTTCTCAGCTCCAGTGTCCACTGTCAGGCAGCATGGCTTCCCATCTACTGAGCCCTCCACCTGCATCGAGCTGGTTGTTTGACGACAGCTTACACGTCGGGGCCCGGGAATCGAGGACGGCTGGGTTTTGGCCCCCTTCTCCAGCTTGTCCGAGTTTTCCGCCTGTACCACTTCCTTAGCCTTAGGACAGGCACTCGGATGGTGACCATACCTGCCACAGCCCTTGCAGCACTGCTGGAAGGCATCAGGACGCGTTCTCCGCTCCTTCCGACACCGACTACGTCTGTGCCCTTTCACCGCAACCCCAACACAAGCCTTGGAAAGTGCTCGGGCTCACCTTCCTCAATGCTCCCTTCTCTACTTTAGCCTTCCGGCCCCAGAGGTCACGGCGGGGCTGAGCAGCTGGCCCTAGGCCACTGGTTGCCTTCAGGAAGGCCTCGAACTCCAAGGCCCTCGCCAGCGCCACCTGCAGGTCCTCAGGGTGTGCCTGCTTGACGTAGATTTGCAGCTGCTGGTCCTGCAAAGCGTCAATAAAGAAATCGCGGGCCAGTTCCACAATCATCTCTTCCGCAGCCGCAGGGTACGACCTCCTTACCAGCGCCTCCACATCCTGCGCCAGCTGGGGCAGTGTCTCGCCACGCTCACGAGTCCGCTTCTTCAAGCGGGCCCGATATACCTCGGTCTGGTGGTGATGCCCGAAACGGCGTTTCAAAACCTCCGCCACGCTGGTGTAAGAGGCATGTTGGGATGGCGGCAGATGCCCCAACACTTCCACCGCGGGGCCCCTCAGCGCCGTTACCAGCTGCAGTGCCTTCTCTTCCTGGCAGATGCCAGCATTTCAAACTGGGCGACATATGCCTCCTAGGCCACCTTCCCGTCGTACTCAGCTGGCTTACGCTTCACAGAATGTCTGGAGGCCGAGGGGCTGCGGGGTGGAGAACACGTGCCATGAACTAACACGCTCAGGGGAGAGGGAGGGGGTGAGGGAGGTAACGAGGCGGGCTGACCGGGTCCGAGTTTGCCGCCACCTGTACCCAAGGGAGCGGTTCCGATGGGTCCCCAGCCTTCTGCAGTGACCACTGGCTCTGACACGACGCTGCGAGGCCCGGAGGTTCCCTGCCATGGACCCCAGGCAGACCCGAGTAAATCTGACACTCTGGCATCTGTTGCCAGAGCCTCGTCTGCTTTCTCTGCTTGCAACGTTACTACCTCGTGATGCCGCCTTTCTGCCTTCACTTCCTCCCTCAGGCCCTGAACCTCTTCTTTCAGAGTCTGCACCTCCTCCAGCAGTTCACTCTTCACGCTGTTGCAGGCCTTGTCGGTGTACTGCTGAGTTTCCATCTTCACAGATGTAAGATTGCTCTGTAGCACCTCAACAAGATGGCAGAACTGTTCCTCTGCCTTCCTTGCCTGCATCTCGACGAGACGGTGCGCCTGCTCGGGTGCCCTCTGTGCCTGCTCTTCTGCCTGCTCGTGTGCCCTCTGTGCCTGTTCTTCTGCCCTTTGTGCCATTTCCTCCTTCATACTGACCAGCATAGCAGTGATCAGGTCCATCTGGCTCGGCTTCACCTCAGTCGTGCCGGCCTCAGGCGTAGCCTCCTCTCCCTCATGGCTGTTGCCATCTTTGGACATGATAAATCGGCGCGTCTCACTGATCAAATATCACAAATCCCACACCTGACACCAATGTTACGCCGGCCGCCTCTCTACCTGCCACCAACACGAGGCAGGCTAGGCAGACGGCGTGTTATCCACAGGGTCGTGAACACTGAACAGCTCCAAGAAGTACCACGCCATCCCAAGACACCACCAGTTATTTACCCGTACACTTTTTTATAGGCACAATACAGGAGGCAAACCAGCACATCACACTACACAATACAGCTTATAACCGGGCAACACAAAGTATATCAGGCTGGAGAAGGGCACACGGGCGGTCATCACGGGAGCGGCACCAAAACTCTGCCCTCTCCGCCCCGCTCCCCAGCCACCCACGTCATTTTCATGCTAAAACACGTTAACACGCGTTCACACAGAGAC